GGGGGGGGAGCACGGCCCACCAAATGGGGGGGCCAAAACTGGTCCAAGAGAGAGGGGCCACCCAAAACCCAACCTGAGACAAACAGGCACACAGAGACAGCCCGACAGAGCCTCTGTTGGGCTGTCCATGCACCCCACCTGCCCAACAGTGACCGCAAGCCGGCCCCAGGCCGGGGGCCAGAGCAGCAGCTGAGGAAGACCAGCCCAGCGCACCAATGCATCCCTAAAAAAAATAAATAAATAAAATTGCGGTTTTCATTGGTTGTCAGTTATAATCATCAACATTAAAAGAAATAAACATTTGAAATATATCAGTCTGTGTGTAATGAATGAATATAATATACAAGTTTCACTTTTTGAATGGAATTACTGAAACAAATCAACTTTTTCATGATATTCTAATTTTATGACCAGCACCTGTAAATGTGAAAACAGATCCCAGGTGGATACAGAATAACCAAATCATATTGGGATTCACTGTTTCTCTGATGGTGTGTGTATTCATTCATATGAGCAAAACAAGAACGCTGTTTAAACTTTGCATTAAACTGGACATCAGTTTTATTTACAGCAGTTTTCAAAACTAATTTTTATTTTTTTCCGGCTGCTCCGTTCTTCAGGGGTCACCACAGTGAGTGAACTTGCACAAAGTTTTCAGAACTAATATGATTCATGAAACATTCATTCCTAAAGAAAGCTAAAAATCTTATTTGATGCTCTCATGTGTTACTGGAGTGAGTGTTAATCTACTGCACTGTTGTGAAAGTCTAAATGCACAAATGTCTCAGTTAAAGGTCAGAGTTACAGGTTAGATGAGCATCTGTTGTCTCCTACCTTCAGGTCACTTCCTGTTGGAGCCGTGGGATTTCAAGAGATTTAGCCATTCTCCTCATCTTGGTGTCACCGTGACAGTCAGGGACCCGAACCACGAGGTGCTACACACATAAACAGCATTTACCACGAGAGGTCGCACAAACGTTCCTTTATGTTAGATTAAAACACTAGTTTGTCAAAGAACCCATTTCTCAGACCTGCTGACATTTATCAGCTTAAATTTCTAACAGCTGGAATAATTTATATTTATATAAAAATGTTTCCTCCAATAAAGACACAATTCTAATGAGAAAAATGAACCCAGGATTTTTTTTCTCCTCTACAGGTTCAAATGTCTAAACGCTATGGAAAAGTAGGAAAATTCACCTTCACGTCTCATGCCTCCGGTCAGCACTACCTGTGCTTCCAAACCAACTCCACCAGGTTCTCCGTGTTTGCTGGAGAAAGGCTGGTAAGACCTACGGATGAAAAGCACAAAATCAGGCTAAACAAAGAAACATGCATCGCCCATCAGACTGTAACATAAAAACACGAGAGCAGGATGAACTGGATTTTCTATTTTTAAACCAATTCTACACAGAAGCTCCATTTAGACGTTCAGATGGGAGCACACTCCATCGATCCCAGCGCCAACAGGACCAAAGACAACCTGGAGCCGCTTGAGAGCAGTCTCCAACACCTGAGGGAACAGATGGTTTTCATCACCAGGCAGCAGGAGTACCACAGGGTACGTCAGACACCACTCACTTAATTAAGCGCACCCATTATTGAAAGATTACGGTGCATCACAAAACATGAACAAAACAATTAAAGCTGCAAGCAGCACTGAAGGTCCTCGCAGCAAAGCACCGCTCCAGCCATACGGCGACCGCGAGCTCCAGCCACTCCACCCAACCACCATCGCGAACGCCCTCGTGCAAATCCCACATGCGTTCACCAAGAGGCGCATTCCCTGAATCTTTGACATCGCCTTCTGTCCATGTCAGTACTAGTACATACATGCAGAATGCATGTAACAAAATCCAAGAACAACTTTGTCAGCTTCAACTTGTTTTGAATGTTGACAACACAAAGCTAATGTTTTTCAGCAACTCAACATCAGCAAGGTCAAACCAGTCTCTCATCACCACTAGTGATGGTCAACAAATTGAACTTGTATCTACATTCAAATATCTGGGATTTTTCATTGATGACAAATTGTCTTTTAAAGCACATATTCCGTTTCCTGTAAATAAACTGAAGCTTTTCCTTTGATTTGATTTTCGGAATAAATCCTGCTTTTCTTTTAGGGTAAAACAGAAATGGGTGGAGTCTACTTTTCTTCTGATTATTGACCATGGTGATGTATTATACATGAATGCCTCTGCTCAGTGTCTTCACATGCTGGACAGCGTGTATCATGGTGCTTTGCGGTTTATTACAAATTATGGCGCCCTAACTCATCACTGTCTCTTGAATGGTAAGGTAAAATGGCCGTCTCATACATCGGCTTGGCCATTGGTATGGTTTGCTTTACAAGGCTATTCTTAAGTTGACAGCACCTTATCGTTCATCTTTGTTAACTTTAAACAACACGACCTACAGCCTCTGGTCTCAAGACTTTTAAATTTTAGTTTATTTTAATCCTCGTGTCAGAACAGAAAGGGAAAAGAAAGCCTTCAGCTTTTCTGCTCCAACCTCATGGAACAGTTTACAATCACAGCTTAAACTTGGAACACTAGTATCTCTGAATGTATTTAATACCATGATAGATCCCTTTATACTCAAGTTGCAGAAGTGTAATTGTTTTAATTGAGTCGTTTATTATTTAAGTCTATGTTTATTCTGACTGTGTTGTAACTGTGTTTTTTACTGAGTGTTTTTTTTCCTCTCTCTGTATGCTGTCAGTCTTGGCCAGGTCTCTCTTGTAAAAGAGATCATTTGATCTCAGTGGGACAAACCTGGTTAAATAAAGGTTATGATGATGATGATGACTAGTCCAGCTGAAGGTCTTCCAAGTATACATGAAATCCGACCTTCAGACATGAGTAATTGTGACTTCCTGTTTTGTTGCGAATGTTAGAGAAGCACTTCCTGTTTGGTTTTTTACATGTCGTGTGGTAATCAATAGTTAGTTTCAGTCATATTTTACACAGGGTTAAGCTGGAAGAGTCACCCAATAGTCGGCAGTTTATTCTCTGAGTGGGTAGCTTAGGTGATGTCATGAATCAGCAATACCAATGTGTTACGAAGTGCTCACTGATGAAGCAAAAACAAAATCAGCTGCAGATAAGATCATGTTTAACTGAGATATAACTGTTGGAATAATCTAGGGGGCGCACTTGAGTCAAAAGTTAAACAACAATACCAATGTGTGTAGACATGCTCACTGATGACGTACAATAAATCTGGTTCAGATCGGATGATGTATCACTGAGATATAACTGTAGGACTAATACAGGTGGTGCTGTAGAGGCTATTGGCCACTTATCATGGCTTCCTGTTGAAAGGGTGGATAATGATTGATCATACTGATTTTGGTGCACCTCGGTTCAAATCTGTGGAATTGATAGCCAAACGTATTGCAACGGCGTCACTTCTGAATTCATCACGCCGCCACGCCCACATCCTCTTTCGAAAACTGTTTGTAATTTAAAGTAAGTCAGACCAACTTGTTAGAGCGGAGCTTTGATTTCGTCAGAATATGACCACAGAGGTTTGTCGGGCATCCAACAGGGATGACTCATGCCAACTTTGGTGCATTTCGGTCTTTCAATGTGAAAGTTATAGCATTTGGAAATTATGGGCATGAAGTGCAATTTGGAGGCCAGGCCACGCCCCTTTAACATATACGAAAACACAAGCTTTTGATAACTTTTACTCCCCAATGTGTTAAGGGCATATTAACCAAGTTTGAAGGCAATCCTTCAAAATCCCTAGAAGGAGTTCATTAAAATTCGCTATTAGAAATGCCCAAAAATTACCCTTTGTCCCAAAATGGCCGACTTCCTGTTGGCTTTGGACCAGGGCTCCAAGAGACTTTTTCATAGGTTCTGAGAAGATGCAGATGTTCACTGAGTTTCAGAATAATCGGTCCAAAAATGGCTTGGGGCTGAGGTTGTAAAAATTTCTAGGGGGCGCTGTGGAGGCTATTGACCAATTATCATGGCTTCCTGTTCAAGGGGCGGATAATGATCAATCATACTGATTTTGGTGCAACTCGTTTCAAATCTGTGGAATTTAAAGCCAAACGTATGGCGACGGCGTTACGTCTTACTTCGCCACATCGCGATGCCCACATGCTCTACCCCAAACTGTCAGTGTTGGAAAGCAAGTTACACCAACATGTCTTCGGTCACTGGACACACTATCATGCTGATTAGATCACAGGGGTCAGATAGGGATTGTTCAACGTAAAACTTTACACTTCCTGTTGTCAGGGGGCGTGGCTTAAATTATGTCATGATTTGACCATTCAGTCTTGCAGGGGACCGGATGTGGATCGATCACTGAAAGCTTGATGTCTCAGACAGTTTCTGTGTAGGAGTTATTAGCGTTTCGTTTTTCATGGCAAGATGTCAAACTTTGAGGTCTGGCTCCGCCCCTTCAGCATGCTCCGAAACGCACCGTTTAGATAACTTTTCGTCCCCCATGCATTTTGAACAAAATGGCCAAGTTTGAAACCAATTGATTGAAATCCCTAGGAGGAGTTCGTTCAAATGCGGAGGCTGTAAACTTTCCAAAGGTGTGAAATTTGGGACGACATTCCAAAATGGCCGCCTTCCTGTTTATCGTACAACGTTGGTGCCAGAGGGATTTCTGTGCATCTTGGAGAATTGGACAAGCTTACCAAATTTCATGCTTCTACGACAAACTAAGGTTAATGTGGTGTTTTTTTTTATTTATTTCCAGGTGGCGCTCTTGATCCGTTTCTGTGGTGCTTTTTGCCACGCCCTTAAAATACGTAATTTGTCAGTATTCCTGATGCTTCTGCCAAATTTGGTTGGTTTTGGGATATGTTAAGGCCCCCAAAACATCAACCAATTCATTTGCCAAAAAAATTGCAGCTCGGGCCTGAACAGAGCGATTACAAAAAGCCTTTGCAGCGCTTCGCTGCTCGGGCTTAACGAGCAGTTTGGGATGAATTTTAGATAACTGACAGCCTCACACGTTCTTAGTTAATGTTCAGAATATGAACAATTGACATAAGCTCTCGTCTAACATGATCTGTCAGAAAGCCATAATCATTTACTTCCGGTAAGATGGCACCTGTGTACATGGCGTGCAATCCACCTCTGCTGATGGTGTTCGTATTTTTGGTGTTTTTTTCATTTCTCATCTGTGACATCAACGCTCTGCTGGTGTATGACCGAAAACAACTTTTGGATCTTCGACTTTGTGGCACCAATGTCGCTTATTTTGATCATTATGAGCATAACTCTGGACCCCCCCC